CTCCCTCCCTATCCCGCACAGGGCCAGGCAGCTCCAGAGCCAAGAGCTGAACCTCTACATGGGCTGCTGTGTCCTCAGGAGTCCCACACACTCACCTTCCCTGTCCCTCACTCGGAGAAGCAAAGAATGCAAGAAGTAGAAACCTTGGGAAAAAATTCTGTGTGGATGCTATTCCTACTGAAATCACAGTTTCTGATGTAAAGTAGGTCTTTAATACCTTTCCAAACCCTTTTCCCAGTATTATTCCAGTACTGAAAACATTTGATAAAGAAAATCAGGAATAGATGAAGCAAGCTGAAGCATTTGAGAAAGAATAAGAGAAGAGCAAGAAAGATGGGCAGTCCCTTTCAAAGAGGGGACCGCTGCAGGCACTGGCATGTGAGGGAGCTCCAGGGGGAGCAGGAGCCCGTGGGAGGGCAGGGTGCCCTGGGCTGTGCCAGGAGAGCTTTGGTGGGAGAGGGACGTGAGGTGGGGGGAAACTCCTGATTTTGTGCTCATCAGGTGCATGGTGGTGTTTGCCACACCCAGAACAATGCTGCTGGGATCGAGGGCTGTTGAGGATTCTGCACGCTGCCAAATTTCCAAGCATCATTTCACATCCCCTGTGCAGCCAGACTGCCAGCCTCCATCCCTAGCCCGCTCCTGGCCTGGGCAGGCTGTTCGCAGGGATCGAAGGAGAGGGAAGAAGGAACATTTTGCAGGCAGAGGCTGCTTCTCATGGCTAGGACTATTTCCTAATGTTACCAATAAAAACATCTTTCCCAATTCCAGCATTGATGAATTTGTGAATATGCTTTTGCATTTTTAAACACTGCAGGTCTTTAAATGCTACCCTGTTATATTAAACTATTTCAGGTTTGGTTTCAAAATGCTCGAGCCAAATTCAGACGGAACCTCTTACGTCAAGAAAACACAGGGGTGGATAAGACTTCAGACTCAACACTCCAAGCAGGGACCCCTTCAGGTCCTGCCTCAGAAATATCCAATGCCTCCATGAGTCCATCCAGCACTCCCACTACTTTAACAGACTTGACTAATCCCACTATGCCAACTGTGACGTCGGTCTTGACATCAGTGCCCGGAAGTCTTGAGGTTCATGAATCTCGAAGTCCTTCACAGACAACACTTACAAATCTTTTCTGATGACTCTTTCTTAATAATTTCTTTAAAAAAGAAATTATTCTTAGCTGAAATTCCAAGTGTATTTTAATAGAGGCTTTGAGCAACTGACTAACCACAATTAGGATCTCTCCTAAAAAAACAGAAGGAAATGTAGTGTTCTGGTATTACGGAGTATGGACTGAAGAATAACTTGGAAGATCTATTGCAACACAACATTTGTGTAACTGTACAGTTTTGTGGACTGAGCAAGGGAAACAGCAATTAATTTAAGTTGGCTAAAGCTTCTGTATTTTCAAAGACTGCCATGTGCCTTATATACTGTTTTATCTACATTCTTTGGATTCCATGTCCACTTCTCTCTTTTTCTCTCTGTATATTTATGACCAGGGCAAAAATGTTAAAGAGTTTGTTACTTTGAATAGTCCTAAGCCTTTCATTGGTTGCTTTGTTGTTTTAGAATTTTAAGGTCGAAGTCTGTTCGAATACCAGAATTTGTAAAATCTAACCAGTAATAAAACCACTTATGGAAACTACTTGGTAATGGCTGCAGTTACATTTAACATTAGTGTCACAATCAAGGTAGGCTGACTGGATCTAAAAGGGTTAGAAAAATGCACTTCCAACACAGTGTCTGCCTAGGAAAAACCCTAAATATGATGTACACATTCCTCTGGTTCCCAAAGCATATATGGGTGAGAAATCCAGCTTGTACAACAGTCTAGGTATCTTCATTGTAGAGAAATAATGTTAGTTGCAGGTAGAAGTTATCAGATAATTTTAAAACTCAAATAGAAGAACTACATTTCATTTTGCTGCGTGACGGAAACCTGACTTTGGTCAGAATCTTGCTTTTGTGCAAGGTGTGGCTTGTCCCATGTCCTGGAGGAGGCCAGTGGGGCTCCCACAGTTGGGTGGCCACAGCTGGTCCATCACAGAGGTGGACACTGCAAAAGGTTTGCCCTAGGAAAAAGGCAGAAGTATTTCAGGCTATTTCACAACGCTGGTGGGCAAAGTTAAGGCAAAATTATGTTTTATAAATTTAAAGTCTTAAATTTTTTGTAATGCTTTGAAGGAATAAAAAGCCAAGGAAGAATATATTATTGACACTGAAAGTGGTTATTCCTTTAATGATTATGGACCTTTCAATACAATAGAATTCCTTCTCCCCAAAAATCTCTGCAGAATATAATTCATATTTTGAGGTCTTTTCCTATTGTTTTTGAAGTTGCTTTTCTGTAATAAAAGAAATACCTCAGTAAAGTTTAAATATGTATAAGAACGAGTCTATACTATGCTGTTTGCCCAGTAGGTTTAGAGTTTGGAGTGCTACATAAGATGCAGATGGTTGCTTCTTTTCAAACCTGTTCCAATCAGTTCTTTCAGTCAGATGTTGGGTTGTACTGGCCAGCTCTATAAAATTAATCCCTCATTCCCATTGGATCAGAATTACTAAAAGATTATTCCAAATAAACAGCAAGATAGATGCCAAGATTTGTGTTCTCTGCCCTTCTCAGGGCATTGAAGATGATTCTGTAGGTTGGACTCTTTCCTAACAGTGTTTTGGTTTTACAAGTGCTGCATTTATTCAGCTTTCTGAGCTGCAAATTCACTATTCTTGTGCAAGCCAAATTCCTATCGAGATCAGGGAGAGATTTCAGAGCATGAGGACTATGGGATAGAAAAGCTGACATAATTAGGTCATTTATTAACCATTTTTACACTTCAGCTTAAAAAACCCCACAGGTGAGCTACGGGTAAAGCAAGACAGTCCTCCAAGATGGGAGCTAGGTGAGATCTGTGAGAGGGATTGGGGTCTGGTCACCGAACCCAGGGGTGGCAGAGTCCATTGAGTTTATGCACAGTGATGAGACATTAAAAAAGATCATTTGTGTTGAATTTATAAATGTTACAGGTTTATCCAGGACATTTTTCCTCGTAATCCAAATGTCTGATAAGGATGTTGTGCTGGTTGGTGGACTGTAACAGATACATATCTGCCTTTCAAAGCTGTTTTGACACTAAGATTCTGCTGTTTGTAACATTTTGTTCATTGTCTGTCACTTTGGAGATTTTATTATTTTTTTTTACATGCTAAGCTGGATCTTTTCTTGACTTAAAAGGCAATTCTGGTCCACTGTTAAATGGTTACAGCCCATAATTAAAACCCTGTGTATTAACCTGTGATCAGTTTAAAGATTCTGAATCCTGAAATCTGAAGTGTTACGGCAAATGTAGCGGAGAACAATTCCAATGGTTCTTTAAAATTGTACTGCTATTATTTGTGATCTTGTATCTTAACTACCTGAATCCATGTGGATGGAAATACCTTTCAAATCAATTCTCAATATTGCCTTTTCAAACACCTGACCTTCATGAAGGGGAATACTCTCATGTTAAACTTATCTGAAACCTATACGAGACAATTAGAGAAATTGTCTGGTTTAATCAAATCAGGGATTTTGCATATAAATAAGAGACAATATTCTATGTAGGGTCTTTATGTAGGTGCATTAGGATTCACTCTGGCTCCAATGACCTATGTTGTCCCCATGACTGTTTCAATCCTGTGGTATTGTTTGGTTGTTTAGAGCTTGTTGGTTTTGAATGCTGTACATTTTTTTACTACTGCAATCCTGATGTTTCTTCACATTCTTGTACAGTTCCACATTTGATGTATTAGTCTGAAATTCTGTTAAAAACATGAACAAAAATGGAAATGATATTTCTTTGGAAGTGTATTTTTACTGTATATCTAAGTTGAACTAGTTGAACATACTTCTTTACATTTTGCATGATAGGTGTGTAGTTCATTTTTTAAATATGAAAGAGACTTAATAGTAACTTAGAACAAGAATATAATGAAACTATACAAATATGGAAATACATACAATGATTTGCTACTTTTTGACTCAAGAAGCTTTTTGAAATACATTTTACCTAGTTTATTTAAGATAATGCAGATATTCTGTCTCTGAGTTCATACATAATACAGAATGTAAGAGGGGATTACATACTAGAAAAACTTTCAGGTCACCTTGGTATTTACCAGCACACTGGATTATTCTTGTCAGACAGAGAAAGGACAATGAATTTTAAGAATGCTGAATATATTTTGATCTACAGCAGAGAGGGGTGAGATTGCTGCAAGTGATATGTAATCACAGCTTAAAATGTATTGACTCTATTAATGACTACATTTCATAAAACTTATTTTTTATTCAAATTACCTAAATTTGGGAGGACTGAGGATCATTATACTAATGAAGAAGCTGAATGTGTGCCCTGGAAGCTAAAGTCAATTTATCAAATATACTATGGATGCAGAAGGGGCCTCCCAGATATTTTGGTTTTCAGACTATTTTTTCCTCCTGGCTGTTTAAAAACCCCACGTAATTAGGCTGCTTTACTATAAGTGTTTGTTATTTTTTGTCTGTTGGAAGGAAGCTTAGGCACCTGTAAGAACAATCTTCATCTAAAGGAAAAGGAGAAAAAGACACAAAACAAGAATCAGGTTTTGTACTTAGGTGTGATGATGGCAATGACGCCCAGGTGATGGAAAAGTTGTGTGTGTACAAGTTTGTGGTCTTCAGGGACTCAATAATGCTTGGAAAAAGGGCTTTTAATTGAAAGTAGGTGATTTATGATTTCTTTTGTTTCTAAACTCAGCAATCCAGGCTAATTACATCACTCTGTCACTGCTTTTTGAAACGCAATTCGACGTAAATTACCATTAGGAAGGGCCATAACATCAGTGTGAAGAGGTAAGCCCAGAGTTTGGGAGGACTTTTTTCTGCTTTTCTCTGCTTCCCATGTCTTTAACCCTGGTTCTTCTCCAGGCTGTGCCACAGGCTGCAGGCAGCAGCTGAGCTGGTGTCCCCTGCACCCTCCACACTGCCACAGGCCAGCCCTTCGTGCCTCCCATGGTGGCACCATCACCCTCCTCACCCCAACACTCGGGTGCAGCTTCTCCTGCTCCCACGGGGACTCACCCTTCTGAGCAAGGAGGATTTGTACCATCCCTGCTAGCAACTGATCTGTGCCCAGCTGAGAGAAGTCTGTAGATGGAGTGGTCTGTGCCTTTCTGAGGTCACCTTTTGCACGGGCTGCAGGTGAAACACCGCCGCACACAGCGGGGAGCACACGCCGAACAAATCCCTGCCAGCAGCAGAGCTGCCCAGAGACAGAGCCCAGCCCCAAAACTATTTCCACAGAAGCAGCAAATACTGACAGGCCTAATAGATAGAAATTTATATTACTGCCATTTTTGCTGCAATTGTGCTCTCCCCACAACCTTTCAGACTCATTAAAGAAGTGCTCCATACCACCATTCCACCCGGGAAAATCAGAGCTGAGCTGGACCAGGGCCGTGAGTGGCATTCATCAATTTGACAATTCCTTTTCTCAAGGACTGGATGAAAAGATTCACTGGGCATTTAATGGATTTCTGCTCAGATTAGTAAGATGTTAGTGGCTCTTTCTGGCCTAATAACTGGATTTTTGTAGCAACTAAAGCCAGTAAATATTTTTGGGGTTTTAATTTGAGCAAAACATAGTACTTAAAACACGCAACCTGCTGTCAGTAAATTTAGACCTTGCAATATCATTTATTGTGCTAACGTATAACACTGTGCAAATTATTATTTCTGGAGAAAACCACTCCTGTGCAAGTTCTTCTTTGCCCTGTATAAGGCATGGCTCTGCACATATATTTACACAGCTTGTTTACATGCCACTATATCAATTTATTACATTGTGAAATTCAGCACTTAACAGGAAGTTACACTTTTGCAACAACATCTAAAAAAAAAGGAAATAATTAAGCTTTTAGTTAAAGAAAGAAATCTGCTTTTTCTCCTGCATATTTTAGCCTGGTAGCCATGGGACTGAAAAAAGGCAACCAAAACAAGAGGGACACAAATATTTGGAAAGCCTGACTTCCCTCTGTGGTGACCTGCTTTAACTGATAAATCCCAGCAATGCCTCTCTCCAGTGCATCCAATCCCGGGGTGATTAGTGCTGGAGAGCCACAATGGACCTGCAGTGCTGCAAACACTGAAACAAACACTTATTTTTCTTGCAGTGACACAAAACTACCGAGGCCATTATCTGTCCATGGCACCGTAATTACTGTGAATATAACCTTCCTTGGTCACTACTCAAAACCAGCGAGAAGATCCTCAGGCTTTGGTAATTTAGTGTTCCTAGAAAAGGTTATTGATTTTCCATGGCCGTATTGGTCTGATACAGAGTATCAGTGATAAGGAGCTCTAATCCATGGATTATTTGTGTTGGCTGAAGCCTCTAGCAGACAGCCAGAAGGTGAATCCTTCCCTACACAGAGCTAAGCACCAAATTCTCTCAGTGGCTCTCCGGGCACAGATCTTAGCAGCTTTCCTTGATGACTGAAGGAAGGAACGAGTCCAGGAGACATATTCATGTTCTTATCAGAGTGCACAGGTTCCAGGTATTCTTTTGTAATTTCAACCTCCAGCCTACAGAAGTTGCATTTTCACCAACTATTTCTTTTGCCTTCCCGCATAATTTCCTTGTGTTTCGTCAGTCGTTTTTGTTGTCCTTCCTCTGGAAATGAAGACTAACAAAAGAGATACTCTGTAATATGGCTTTACAGGCTGTGATTGAGCAAGAAGCTGATGCCAAGTCTAGCCCAAGTCTGGGCAGAGATTCTGGGAATGTGGGGAAGAGCAATTTCTGAGAGGCTGGTCTGTCACCCATAGAGCAGAGGGTAAAGAGACATCACTGTTTGGACCAAGTATCCCAAGATATCTCATCTCTTGAACCCAGACCTTCTGAGAATTTGTTAATGGTCCTATGAAACATTTTGAGGCAGAAGAACACTTTATTTACCATTGCTTTTATGATTATCCCAGACAGGCAGTTTCAGCTCTTTCCCACTTTGTGCTGGAGCATGGGCTGCTTCTGTGCTCCTTTAACCCTGCTGACCATGGACTTGCCTTTGTTAGCTCACATGCACAGATCCCTTAGAAGTAGCTCAAAGGCTTTTGTATCCACCTTTGTTCCTGTATGATCTGACCGTTTCTGAGAAGCTGGCAGACAAATGTGAGCTGCCCATGGACTGGGGAGAGGTTTCATAGCCAGGAGCTTGTGCTTCTCTTTGAAAGGAGGCTCTTTCCCCCAGTGCTGGCTGCAGTGCTCACTTTCACCTGGCCAGGGCTTGTAGGAGAGCTCTTGGGATGGGCCCTGCCAGCTGTTGATGCATTTTGGAGCTGGTGCTATGCTTAAAAAAATCAGTCATGGGTGTTCCTACTGCCTTGTTCAGTCACCTCTTGTTAATGCAGATGCAGACTTTCTCCATTTCATCCCTGTTGGCACTGACTCCTCACCCAACACGCTGAATGACAGCAGAAGTTACACCACAGCCAGTGTCACTCATGCTACAGAAATAAGCTCAGCCACCCACACCCTGAGAGGCTTTTTAGTGTAACGAGGGCCATTTGTGGCCTTCATTTCTCTGGGTGTCTTTTCCAGTTCTGCCCCTATTGTGTGTATGGAATTCAGGAATCCATGTTAGATTAATCTAAAAGATGTACAATTCTATTTTCTGTTATTTTTTACTCTTCAGCTCCCTGAGTGCAGACAGTTCCTACTCATGTTTTGTGCCCATACTCTCTTTTTTTATCACTCTGTTTTATCCCAGAGATTATAGATTGTGCACACCAACACTCACTGGCACTGACAGGATTCTCCTGAGTCCCTTCTGGCTATCCCAGCACAAAAGAGAAGTCTCAGAAAAGACACTGGCAGCTATTTGTAGAACTACTTTCTCCTCACAAAACAGCTCCAGCTCCTGGGGATCTGTGTTGGGAGCACAACGTGTGCTGCAGCCACTTACACACAGGTACCATCATTATCAGCTGCTTTGGAGCCGACCAAAAGCTGGGCTGCTTTTACAAGATCTGCATAAAAATATAATCCATTTTAATTCTAGAATTGTACTGAAGCTGATGCCAGGCATTAGAGGGAAGAATGTGTTTCTGGCAGGACTCCAGGTATTTCTGTTCTTTCTTTTTCTGCCTGTTGGCTGGAGCAGAGGCCAGGGCAGCACTCCTGCCTCCTGCTTCCACCACAGACGCTCTGTGGCCAGCACAGGGAGGCTGGCCAGAGGTTACTTACTGTTATTTTGAGAAAGTGCTTTGAAGTCCT